AGATGATAAAGTGTTTAAAGTTTACAATAAACTGACAAATAAAATAGTTTTTAAAGGAATTTACAGATGTAGAGCAGAAATAGTTCCACATAGTGAGCTTCCTGAACAATCGCAAGCAAACATTCAGACCAATGAATTATCAATTTCGGAGGGAGAGTTAAATGAGAGGGATAATGTTGGCTCTGCGATTGGGAGGGAGAATGAAGGAGAGCTCACAAATGTGAACAAAAATATAGAACACAATAATGCTGAACTCGATCAAGTCATTAAGTTAGAAGATATACAGACAATAGAGAATATAGAAGAAATGTGTGAAAGCTCAGTAATTGAAAAAGTAAAGAAACTAGAGAAAATAAATGAGGTGATGTTATGGCATGTTAGATTAGGTCATGCATCGTTAAACTATCTAAAACAATTACAAAAAGTAGAAAAGAGATTAGAAAATGTAAAGTTTGATAACTTTATATTAGAGTGTGAAGTATGTATAATGGCAAAGATGGCAAAACTGCCGTTTAAAGAAAACAGAAATAGAGCACAGAGACCACTACAGGTAATACATACGGACATCATAGGTCCAAAACCTACATCCTATCCAGGACAAAAGAGGTTTATAATCACTTTTATAGATGACTATTCTAGATTAGCAAAAGCCTACTCTCTGAAGACAAAAGATAAATCGGGAGAGGCTCTAGAGAAATATCTTATATCCGCCAGAAATCTACTAGGAAAAGAAGAAAAGCTATGCTATGCAAAGTCAGATCAAGACAAGGAATTTACGGGAGGTGCTTTTAAAGAGGTATTAAAAAGAGAAAAGATAAAAACCATATTTGCATCACCGTACACTCCAAAACACAATAAAGTTGCAGAAAGGTTCAACAGAACGTTGAAGAAGTTTTCATCAGAAACAAGTTGTCATTTTGAACCAATAAAGAAATTCGGATGCATTGGATATGCAAGAGTACCAAAACCTACGTCGAAATTCGACAAGACAGCTATTGGTGTGTTGGTGGGATATACTGACACTGGATATATACTATATACTCTGGTATCCAAGCACGAGAAAATTTATAGAGTCATGACAACAGAGCAGCAAGAAACTGCACTAAGATGGATAAAAGTCACAAACTTAAAATGTTTGATGACGACTTAGAAGAAAAAAAAGAAACTGAAAACAAAAAACATATGGATGACACTCATGAAGATTTTATCAAGCAGTGTGTTGATTAAGGGAAAGTAAAAGTCGAATGGATAAAGACCAAAGAGAATTTGGCAGACATTACGACAAAACCTTTACCTCTAGAAGCATTTGTGTATCTGAGAGATAAAATAATGAATATAGAGTTTAGACAAAGTTAGAGATT